CTGTAAATGTATACAAGGACTCAGCCCTCAATCCAGAGGAAATTCCTCATCTCAGTCTTAAATTAATACCCATTTTCCATTCCAAAAGGTCAAATATTCCCGAATGTTAAATTCCCAATTTTGATGTCCTTGCAGCCATGTTTCTTTAATGGCTGAGATATATTCATTTACCTCTATTTGCTCATCAGCTTGTCTCTTATTCTGAATGCTTTGAGCATCAAGATACAGCGCCTTAAGTTTGTTCTTACTAAATTTCCCAAAACATTTATGGATGCTTTTGTACAATGACGTTCACACTGTCCCTTTACCAGAACAGCCTAAGTTTGGGTTGCCACAGGCCCTGTCCTACCACTGAGCATCCTATAGCATCTCTACAGTGTGGAAACATGCCATTTGGCCCAACAGGTCCAATCTGCCCCTCTGAAGAGCATCCCACTCAGACCCATTCCCCCAACCCTGCATTTCCCATGTCTAACACACATAACCTAAACATCCCTGGGCACTATGAGCAATTTACTATGGCCAATCCACCGACCCTGCACATCTTTGGACTGTGGGAGGAAACCCATGCAGACAGGGAGAATTTGCAAACTCCACACAGACAGACCCCTGAGGCTGGAATTGAACCTGGGTCCCTGGCACTGAGGCAGCAGTGCTAACTACTAAGTCTCTGTGCCGCCCCAAAGAGTGGAGAATGCGGGCAATGATCCCGCTACACCTCTCAGTTCTAGGTGAATCGGAGTAATTCTGCCAAGTTGAGTTTCTTCTGATCCCCTTCCCTAGCTTTAATGAAAGACACTCAAACATGGTTCTAACATTACCAGCTAACCTCAAGTGATTCTTGTGAATTGGGGTAAAAAGTGACAGTATTGGAATGGCAGCATGGAATGTTAATTGAGAGGGATTAGCCAGTTCAACAGACTTTTGGACTAAAGATGGATCTGTTTTTTGCCACTGTTAAGCGGAATTCAGTCTGAAAATTGACAACCATTCTAATGATTAATTTGTTTGCAAAATTGACTAATTGCAGGATTGCTGGACTACTGTAGCCAACTGTATGAGTCCATACAGACTACATTCAACATCATGCACAAGTCTAGATGACATGGGTACATCAAATTCTACTAGTGTGCAGTACAGGTTCAAAAATGTTTTAGCCACTCCAACTAGAGCTTCACCATTACCAGCATTGTGGTAAGTATATTCATACATTAAACTTCCACTGCCTTAGCTATATTTCATAATGCAAAAAAGGAGAGCTTTGCATAGGTCAATTATGGTGACATTATTTTCTTAAATACGAATAGCTGGGGAAATCATGATGAAGTATGGAATATCCTTCTGAAGAAGGAGCAGGCTTACTTGAGAGACAAAGATGTTTTCCAAAAGCATCCACTCTTGCAACCTAAGATGAGAGCTATTCTTCTTGATTGGTTAATGGAGGTAAGGACTTTGTAACAAGTATTCACTTACTCAAACTTTTGCTGTGTGGATAATGTTTTTTTTTAAATTTTAAACCAATATTGGAAATACTCCCTGAAAGGTACTCTTCAAATTTAAAAAATCCTCTTTTGGGATAAGGACAAGGTCCCACTTATTGTCTCCAATTGCTCTGAAAACTGCTGGATCTCCAGCTTGAACTGCTTGTATTAATGTAACCAGTTCCAAGTTTAATGATGAATGATGGTATTTCTAGAATTGAATTAAAACTAGGGTATTCTTAATTACTTTTGAGATAATTTTGAAAGGGAAAATTGCCTCCTTTCAAGCCCATTCAAAGCAAGTGCACATTATCTGGCTGAGTGGTGCACCAAGTTAAACTATTACCTTGGGAATAAGGTGTCATGATATTGTTTGAAAAGCATGGGTTTAAAGAATAATAATTTATATCTTGACCAACATCACCAAAGCAGGTTATCTGGTCAGAAGCTTACTGATGGCCTCTCGCTATAGCTCAAAGCTTTCTGTCCCAGCAACCTTTTAAGTCTTTTCTGAATCCTTCCAAGTTGAACATCTTTCCTGTAGCAGGAAGACCAGAACTAAATGCTATATTCCAAAAGTGGCCTAACCAACATCCTGTACAGCCAAAACATGACCTCCCAATTCCTTATACCCAAAGCACTGACCAACAAAGGCAAGCGTACCAAACACCTTCACTATCCTGCCTAACTGTGACTCCACTTTCAAGGGACTATGAACTTCTACCCCAAGATCATTGTTCAGCAACATTCCCTCCATTAAGTGTATTTGCCTTTCCAAAAAGCAACACCCCTCAATTATCTAAATTAAAGTTCAATTAAAATTAAAAGTCCGAAAACAGTAGAGGTAATGATGGTATAATATTGCTCTTTCATCCTCTTAATGTTACTGACTGATAAGCCCTTTACTGTCTAATCCTGTTTTTACTTTAAGGGGGTCTGATTATAGTTTAATACAGTACTTTAATGTATAGGTATTTGAATTCTGACTGCTCAAGTTCCAGTATTTTGTACTTTCTAGTTAAATATTATTGGCCAAGCTACTGCTGTTGCTTGAGAAACAGCAAGGTTTTCATGGTTTTGAAGTGAAATTGAGACTAGACCTGTTAAAGATCACGTTTTATTTTGTAGGAATGCTTCTCTACTTTCAACAGTTGAAAGAAAAATTGTTTTAGACAAATTGAGTTTTCTGACCTGTTTTAAAATTGACTATTTTCCTATTTAAAGGTGTGCGAAGTCTACAAGCTACACAGAGAGACACTTTATTTAGCCCAGGACTTTTTCGATAGGTTTATGGCAACACAACAAAATGTTGTGAAGACTCGATTACAGCTTATTGGTATTTCAGCTTTATTTATTGCTGCAAAGCTAGAGGTAAGGGGATAACTATATGCTGAAATCTTGCACTATTTCAAATGTAGTTTCAGTGCACTTAATGGTGGCTTTTTGTAGGAAATCTACCCACCAAAGCTGCACCAGTTTGCCTATGTTACTGATGGAGCTTGCACAGAAGAAGAAATCCTTAACATGGAACTTGTTGTTCTGAAGGTACTTCATAAATGGAAATGTTAACATTCTACTTGGTTTTATAAACTTATTCTCTTATAGGCTTAAAGTAAAATGTGTGGATGGGTCAAGAACTAGAATGAGGCTTGCTTAAAATAGAAAGAAAGTAGCCTCCTCTGACTGCGGACACTTTCTAGTAACAGACTGGAAACTAACTGGGCTCAATTGTCAGATGATTAATCTGTGTTCAAATTGTTCTAGGCTCTCCAGTGGAATCTGTGCCCGATAACAATTGTGTCTTGGCTTAACATCTACATGCAAGTTGCATATTTGCAGGAAATGTATGAAATATTAATACCACAGTACCCACAAGAAATGTTTGTTCAAGTAATGGAGGTAAATTTCAGACATCTTGTTGTATTTAGCTATTTTGTTCTTTTCAAACATTGCTGTATCCACCAGCTTGAACCACGTGTGATAATGTAACCAGTTTCAATTTTAATCTAGCGATGAATGGTGGTATTTCTAGAATTGGACTAAAACAAGCAGAGGTAGCTACTTTTGAGACATTTTTTTCCTGTAACTGATTGCAACCAAAAGTGAGTTCAAGCACAAAAACAACAACCTGGCCTGACATATTGGTGCTACCTTACTCCCATCCAAGGTAATAATTTATCATGCTACTGCTCAAGAAATGAAAACTGATTCTTTCTTAACCACTGCAGGCTGGGCCCCTCCTCACACTAAGCTGGTTTGTGATACCCATTTGCCTTGCAATGGTAAGGATAGTAACATACAAAAGACTGTTCATCCTCTAGTTATTAAATCCCTGACAACAAAAATAAGTTGCTTTCTTGTCTCTAGTGAACAAAGTTTGCATTTTTTGTCTCTCCAAGTCTTTATCCTTGGAGACATCAAGCACATGTACCTACTGCATAAGGTATCTTCCTTGCAATGTCTTAAACTACAATCTGATCAAGTACTTGTTCTAGACATTCCTTTCCTGTTAGAACATTTCCAGTCTCACTACCTCCAGCTGAGCCAGAAATTCAAAAAAGACATCTATTGTGTAGATGTTTGAGTCTAGCTGTCCACAAACTGACTTATTACAATCCAGACACACTAACCAAAGATCTGCAGATGCTAGAAATCTGAAACAAACTGCTGAAAAACTCAGTAGGCCTGGCAGCATCTGTGGAGAGAAAGCAGCGCTAATGTCTTGGGTCCATTGACACTTAAGAATTGATTTATAGCTTGGAAAAAAAGTTGGTTATATGCTGAGGGTGGAGAAGTAAACAATAGGTGGGGGTAAATCTAGAGAAACAGTTGGGCAGACAAAGGAATGAGTCAAGGTCAGCCTGAGCCTTTCAACATTGCTATTTGGTCCCATTAGTAGTTGGCAATGGGGTGGTTATGGTAACGATCCATGCGATAAGGCCTGATGTGTGGGAATTGGGGAAAGGAAATGAAGGTATTATAGTCCCGACCCAACTCTGTACCATTACCTTACAATTTTTTTTGTCGTAAGTTAGGCTAAAGCATGGAACAAAAATATTTGCTCCTTAGCTTACATGAACACAATACTGAATGCATTAAGCAACACCACCTACCACCTCCGCATCAAATTCTGCATTTTGCCTGTAAAATCCAGTCAATGGCAGACACCCGGGTGCAGGAATAAACAGCCTCTTAGACTACACAAGATCGATCAAAAACCAACAGTGTAAAAGCTTAAATGGCGTGAAGTGCGCATCAGACACTTTTCAATTTTTAACAAAAGGTGTCAACTATGGGCACGTATGTAGTGTGCATCTTTCCAGTTCCTCTACAGACCAAAGATTAAGGTTCTGTATGAAATTCTGGGCTCAATGCCAGTTCCACCCCAGTTTTTCTCTCCTTCTTTTGTTTATCAAATCCCACTTATTTGAGCAACATGTTTTCAGCTGCGGAACAGTAATCTATTTGCTTCTCTAGGATGATCAACCTATTCTGTTTAAATTATAAGCCAACCCTGCAACATTAACAGCCCTTCTACTCTTATCTGCAGCTATTGGATCTCTGTATCTTGGATTTCAAATGTTTGGAGTTCACATATGGTGTCACGGCAGCTTCAGCTTTGTATCACTTTTCTTCTTGTGAATTAGTTCACAAAGTCTCAGGTAGGATGATGTTCAAACAAAATACAAACTTTAATTGCTATATATAACTGCAATTAATAACCTGTTTAATGCTTAGGATTTGAATGGAGTGAAATAGAAGGATGTGTGAAATGGATGGTTCCATTTGCTATGGCCTTGAGAGAACTGGGAAGTATAAAACTCAAAAATTTGAAAGGTGTCTGTCCAGAAGACTTGCACAACATACAGACACATTCTAACAGCTTATCATTACTGGTAAGATTATTTTTTCATAGTCATATGCAAAATTATTAACAAACCTTGGCTGCTTCCTTTTTTAAATATTTCTTCATGCACAAGTTAAGGATAGTAATTATTGTCAATTTATTTATCCTGTTTAGTGGAAATTGGATACAACTTTTCAAAGTCCCTATTAAAAAGGTTCAGTTGTAGTTGAGACAAAGTCCCCAGGAGTCTCAAATGGCCACTGAGCCAGAAGACTTAGGGTTCATCCCCCACTCCAAACTGATACATTTTTGCAGTACTGGACAGTACACTGTCAAAGGTGGTGAGCATGAGACCAACAGCTTTAATATTGCATAATTCTTTTGAGGAGCAAGATATTTTTCTATACAGAACAATGTTTATCTTTCTGCGTCATTTAATTATCTTGCTGCTGTTGTTTAGAGGTGGTTTTTTCCCCTTCAATGTTGACTGTACTAGACAAGTGATTTGATTATGTAATATCTAAATGTTGGGCAGTTAACTTATTGAAACAGTACAAGTTAGCAATGCCATTGACTTAAGTCTGTGAAAGTGCAAGGCTCTCTCTGGAAAATTCATTGCTCACATGCTCCAAGTAACCCGAACAGACTAATGTTTTGCTTCATTTCTTCTTCCTAGGATAAAGCTCACACAAAGCAGGCACTACTATTGGAACAGAGTAGATGTTCACCTGTACCTTCTGGAATTTTAACTCCTCCACAGAGCAGTAAGAAAAACAACATTGTGGGCTCACGTGAAGATCTCAAACATTTGCAATCCTGAAACAGATTATGGGTGAATTTCTTACACCTAGAAGTCTGAATTTAAGAAAATGCTTTAACATAATGAATGAAAGTTAAGTGGATTTGATTCTCATGCCTACTGTTGAAGGCAGAAGATGGCTGTAGAATTCTAATTGCATTCTTTGATGCCTGCAACTCTTAATTCTGGATGTTAGAACTCTCTATAACTTGGCTCTTTAATACTGACCTTTTTAAACTGGTGGACTTTTGCCAAGAACTCCAACCAAATAAAGGGTGCTTTCCAAGTTATCCTAATTGCTGCTAGGGAGGATGGCTCTGGGGGGGGGGGGGGGGAAAAAAAAAAGGGGGAGAAAAAATTGTTTGAGAAATTGTTTTATGTACTTAAAGCTGCTGTTTATTTTAAATAAAGGTACTGTCAGAATAGATGACTTTCGCAGCTACATTCTTTTGTCACTCAATTCACTTCTATAATAACATCCAAACAGGTTGTTTGAAAATATTTCATAGCTATAGGGCAGGTGGGACTTGAACTTGGACTTCCTTCCTCAGTAGAAGGAATGCTACCACTTCCAGAAAAGTCCCTGCTTCTTTATAAAGTTAGCTGACTTTAATTTTGATTTTAATAAAGTGTTCCTCTCTAGTACTATTCTATTCTCTTCTCATCTCTTTTCTGCCAATCACTTGGACACTAATCTCATACATTGCAACTCTGATGCATTTTGCTTTCTACAGACTTTAAGAATAGCCACAATCTTCCATCTCGAGTAGTAATTTGTCCTTTCTCAACAAAATCTCCCATTGATCCTCTTTTGGCTGACAGTGATCCTATATGTGGTCACTTTTACACAAATGCTGATGACAGTCATCTTAAGTGTGCCCCCTTAACTATCCAGAGATGAAGGATGTCATTAATGACTTTGTGTTTACAATATTCTTACAGAACCAGACCACAGCCTTTTAAGTGCACAAAACCTTCAAACTGGATGGTTCCATTGTTACCCATTCAAGTATCACAATCACAATCACATTTACTTCCTTCCCCAATCTAGCCTCGGCCTCCCTATTTCACCATTAAATACTACCACTTGGCATCACCTGAAAATGTGATTTGTTCCACACACCCAGCTGTACCAGGCTAATGCCCCATCTCTCCCTTTCCACTGACATTTGTCTAGGACACTTTTTTCCTAGTTGTTAGGAAGACAACAGCTGGAAGTTTTGGCATCCCTGAAGCCATTGATCGAGTCTCCTCAGAAGTACCTATTAGATACAGCTGTTTGGCAGAATCTAGCTGTTTCTAGTTTTTTTTTGATCAAGCTGAAATTCTGAACTGGTCTGCTCCCCATTACTTCTGTCCCAACTCTTATAGGCATCAGCCTGAGACCTGTTAAGAGGACTAACTCAAGACTTTTAAAACCACTAGTTGTTATAAAGTAGATTCAAACATCCAGTGAGTGGATGAGGTTTGTGGATAGGATAACAGAGAATGAGGTGAGTATGTATGTTGGATTTTTGGTGTGGGGGTTGCAGCAAAGTAAGGGGTCAGTTTAAATTATCCAGGGGCTATACAAGGACTTCTGACTTAATATTCCCTGTAACTTTATTCAGGTAAGTATGAGTAAACTGTCTGAATTCAAACCTTTCAGGGAGAGTTCTGTGGAACTGTCAAATTGCCTATTCCACCAAAAGATCTGGGTTGATCTGATCAGACACAAGCAAGCACAAAGAAAGCAAGCATAGGTATTACATGTTTCTGGATCCAAGATGGGAAGGAAAGTTTAAGGGGAAGGATTACAGTTCTGAAAAGGAGTCACTGGACCCAAAACATTAACTCTGATTTCTCTCCACAGATGCTGCCAGACCTTCTGATTTTTTTCTTTTTTACAGTATTGATCTGTCCCAGATTCAATGGAATCAGCCAACTGTCTGAAGAAGCGGCTGTATTTAGAGTGGTCAGTTTGGTTTCATACATTCTGGTATCTGGAAAGGCATAGTGGACAAATCCAGAGCACTCTGGATAATGACAGAAATAGAGGCTATGAAATAGTGTATTTAACCACACCAACATGTTTTCATGTAAAAACATTAATGGGTTAAAGGTAAGAATTTTGGACTGTAACAGTTTGATTAAAAGCTCAGCCCAATTTAAATGGGTACAGAATTTAAATATAAGCAGATGTGTTCTCAATAAAACCAAGAGAGGCAGTTTTATAAATAAGTGCATAATAGATTTCTACACTGCACTCATTTCAGCCACAGTTTGTAATACTTGGGGTAGCCTTTCCCATGGTCATTGGAAATCTGGGGGAAAAAAAAAATCAGAACTTGCATACATCATACATTCTGTAGTCGCAGCTGTTTCAGGGCTTGTTTTCTTTACAACTGTAAATTAATCAATTATTTTAGGCAGCTTCCAAGGGCACATACAATTAGTGAGAACCATTATGTTGCATCCATAGAGATGTTGCATAAATTTGTGTTCAAATTATGTACTGCACACCTGCATTCAAAAATGCAGAAACTCATTACAGCAGTATATTTAAATTTTATGCTGGAATGTTTAATCAGGCACACCACATAAATTGAGTCTGTTTTTATTGCTCTTCCTACCTTTGTTTAATGAAAATTTCTCAATGTAAAACAAATTGTTGGATAATGAAGATGGAATGGTACTTTAGCGAAGGAAAAAATTGGGATGGAAGAAAATCAAACTGAATATAATGTGGGGATAACTAGTGGAAGTACCACATCTACACTTGCTCAATCTGGTTCTGTTCAATGAACAGTGTAAACTGCACATGCATAAGTAGCAGCAGCAGCTCAGGGATCCTGTGTGTCACATACAAATCAAATAATACAGTAACACCAGTTTCACTGTTTAGAATTCCATACCAAAACTCCAATTTTAATTTAGCCCAAAATCATAACTATCACAGTACTCTGAAAAATCAGTGATTGCATTAATTGTCCTTCCTCATCACCTATTTTTGACTTACAGGTTTCATTTCTGTTTCTTAAATGCTGGATTTTATAACCAGCAGTTGAGATTTATAAAAAATATTACAGGCAATGAAGTGGACTAGTATTGTTGAAAGACATACGCTAGACACATTAAACACTATTTTGAATCATATAAAGAAGTGAAAGTAGTGGTGGCGAAGGGTATAAAAATTAGGGGGGGGTTGAAAATCTATTCAATTATAACCTGCTCTGCTTTTGTGCTCCAATATATCTTTATTATCCATTCTTGTTTCCTTCTATTAAGAAATGTACAAAAGTAGTTATTAGTAAGTTACCCATAATGAGTAAAATTGACGCTTTTCCTGAACTGGAACATCATAATCTCAACAGTTTTTTGCAGAGACATGTAGGATGTTTACCATCAACAGTCAGTTAAACAAGATTTCCAAATTGAACACAGAAATCCACATTCCTCTATTTTATGGCATTATTCAACTGTTGTTAGATTTAAAAACACAAGGTTATGATTTTGTGATCCTTATGACCTCTCAAACCCACCTTGAAACAGAAGTCTTTTGTAACTTTTGTATCATGATGAAATAGTAAACATGAAATTAGTAGGAATTACTGTTGTACCATTTGCCATTTGAAATGCTTACAAAAATACAAGTTAAACTTTTTACCTTAAGCCATGAAACTTGCATTATAAATGGTAAGAAAAGCTAAACATCCTCCATAATTATTTCAATAGGTCCTAACAGTTCAGAAGACCTGGCTAAAATCTACAAATGTTAAATACTTTATGCTTTGAACTTGCTAAAGCAAAATTAACTGATTTTATAGAAGTTAAAACTCAATTCACAAGCTCCAAGGTTGGTAACAGTACAAAGACCGTAATTATAACATTATCATCACCTTTTATACAACTCTCTCTATACTCCAATTTTGCACTCACACTGAACCAAACCAAAACTGAATTCCCTTAATAATACAAAGAACAGCAATGCCAGCTTCTCTACTTCTATTACAATAGAACACATATGTCACTTACATTATTCTAATTCTTAGAATCATTTGCACCATACACAGAAACCCTAAACTTGGCCCCTTGCTTGGTTTAGAACCAACGTAACAGCTGTTGGTCCTTCAATGGGCTTTTGTTCTGTTAATACGTACAGAGGTGGCAGCAACAGGTGCTGGCTATGCCAATTTAGCTACAGTGAATTGCTGCAAGCTGACTACCTGCACCAACCCAGAGAGTTTGAGATTTGGAGCAGGAGTAAGAAGGGGTAAGCTTTAAAGCAAAAGCAAAGCATCCAATACAAACTTCTCTTTTGTTCAGTCTAATCTGTTTATTTTACAGTTCTCTACCAGAGCCAATGCAATAATGCAAAAAGGTCTGGAGGCACAGAGCATACGTCACCTTGTGAAACAGTTTTGCTTCCCATCTGTAAAAACAAATTGTTGTTGGCAGCAAACATAAATAGGGCACTAAATGGCAGAGTTTCTCTTTTGGTATCCAAGTCCATTACTATTGATTTTCCTCTATAAAGTGGTCTGCAGGCAAAAGAAAATAAAAATTGACAAACATTCAAATTTGAGCAACAGTCCAAACATAAATCTTACCTATATCTTGTTCAGTGTTTACAATTATTCTGATCTACAGTTTAAATACAGTTATGTTGGTATAGCAATACCTCTTCCTATTAAGAGGAAAGAAAGTGGTTGGCAAAAAAATGGTTGAGCGTTAAATGGCTTTTTCTGATATGAATTCTATTTTGTACTCAGTTGCCTGTTGATTGATTGAAAAATTAAGTTGTATTTTGGATTTTGTCAAAAAATTGTAGAGGCTTATGAAAGAATGAGCTCAATGAAACAACAGCAGAATATGTACGCATTGGCAATTTATATGTTGTGCTTCTGTGCACTGATATTTTTATACAGTGCGTATTTAATTAATTTGCATGGGTACGTTCTAACAGAAAATAAGATAAAATAAATGTATAGATGCTGTTAGGGATAGGGAAAAAAACATGTGAAGAACAGAGTAGTATGCCCAATGTCCTGGCCAGCACTTATTCTTCAACTAGCACCTAGATCATTTATTTCAATTGTGTTTGTAAGGCTTTGCCATACACAATTTAGTTCCTGTCTATCCTACAGTTACAAGACTTCAAAAACAGAACTAATGTATAGCATTTTAGGACATCTTGAGATCAGGAAAAAACATGATATCCTTATTTCACTCGTTCTTCCCCGAATGGAAGATTTAATTGAATTAAAATATAGGAAGAACAATAGGTGCAAGTTTAGATCTTCAGTGTATGATTTCATCTGGCACTGTTGATTTTGACATACCTGAAATGTTGCTGAGAGGGCAACATAATGAAAAACAAAAAGCAAATTCTGACTTTTGAAAGTATTGGTATAGCTAAAATTAACAGATTTACGAGTTAACTTTCTCCTTCAAAATATTAAATGCTTTAGCAATTTTAAAGGCAGAGGAATGAGTAAGATCCCTAAACTTAAAATAAACAGAGATGCATTCGTTGATTAGGCATGAGTGTTTGATATTTTTCAGGATTTGACTTTTAAATTTATTTTGATCTTTGAGGCTATTTTGCCTTCTAGTTCTCTATACCTGCCTTTGGCCTACAGAGGAACAAGCAAATAACCTACTTCCAAATTGCCACCACAGTTTCCTTCAGCTTGTGAATCAATAGTATTCCTTCCACTCAATAGAGCAGAATGGGAATTAAGTACAGAGTTGGGGGCGCACACACACACGCATCCCACAATTCAATGCATTGATATTCCAAGTCACCAAACCATCAACTATATGTGACCAAATAGAATGAAGAGATAAATATATTGCTTACGTTTTACTCAATCATTTTGAAGTCACTTGGATTAAATTATTTAAATCAAACATCACAAGAGGATGAAATAAATTGTCATTAAAATTAAGTACATTCAAATTTATTATTCTTTTTGTGGGTAAATGCAGTTTACTAAGATGAAATTGGCTGGGGAGAAAACATACAGGGCAATTAATAGTAACAGTCATTTTAAAATCTACTTTAGCAACAAAATTTTTTCCCTTCACCCTATCCCCCACACAACTCCGCTAAAGATGCAACTCCATATTTGATATAGCAACTGTTCAGTGCCTCATCCCAGGATTAATAAGTTGAAGGCTAGATATCCAGTGTCAGTGGGCAATTTGTCTTGTTCTTTTCACAACTGAAAGAATCAAGACAAACTAAAAACCTTACTGTGGAATTGAATTTTTGCTCTTCAAGAATCACATGAAGCAGAGAAGCTGAATTTCTGTAGCAGCTTCCAAATCCACAACATCCACTACTGAGAAGGGCAAAAGCAGCTTGCATGAGAACACAGGTAGACGGGGTAGTGAAGGCGGCATTTGGTACCTTTGCCTCTAATTGGTCAGTGCACCGAGTGTAGGAGTTGGGAAGTCACGTTGCTGCTGTACAAGACATTGGTTAGGCCACTTTTGGGACCGTGCGTTCAATTCTGGTCTCCTTGCTAAAGGAAAGATACTGTGAAACTTCAGAAAAGATTTACAAAGATGTTGCCAGGGTTGGAGGTTTTGAGCTGTAGAGAGAGGTTGAGGCTATTTTTCCTGGAGTGGAGACAGAGGGGTGACCTTATAGAAGTTTATAAAATCATGAGGGGCATGGATAGCCACGGTCTTTTCCTCAAGGTAGGCAAGTCCAAACTAGAAACTCAAATTTTTAAGAACTTTCGACATTCCAATCTCTTTCTCAATTGTCCATAAATTAATCTCGAATTAGACAGAAAACAATTTTACAACATGGTAGAATGGTACAAATGTGATGTTTTATAAGATGATAATGTTTGTGGCTGTCTCTTTAATTTAAGATAAAAGTGAGGAACAAGATGATGTGATCTGCTTCAAATTCTGTCTGACAGTTTGGGGGTCAGGGATAGTAGTACTGAGAAAGAACAGGTGGAGACTTACAAGCAAAGTGCGAAGTTTCCACATTGAAAAAGAATGGAAGGATCAGGAGGGCTAACTGGTCAGAGTTTTAGTCTCTCAAGTTTTTACAAACAGAACGACATCTCACAGACAAAAGGCTGCAGCCGATATGATCAGCAAAAAAAGGCAGCTACAATTTCTCTGCAAGTGACAGGCAAAATGCAGGACAGAGGATAGTCTCTGGTCAGAAAGACACACCCCAGGACAATCACAAGACTCCTGAAAATTTGCCCTCGCAAGGTTATACAGAAAAAAAAAATCACTGCAGTGGGTCTTACTGCTGGTAGTCTGCTTAAGAAATTCTCCAAAAAATTGGTGCATGTACTTTTCAACAATCACTTGATTTTATGACTTGATGAAGGGGAGAAGCATGAACCCAATGGAAGCAGGGAGTGACGATGGACTGTTTCCTTGAAACACACTCGCTCTTCCACTTGTAGTTTCAACAGAAAATTCCACACAGAAATCAATTTCTTGTTATTAGTTTGTTAAAAATTTACATAAATAAGTAACAATAGAGAAAAAAATTAACCAGTCACAGAAATCTAACATACAAGTATGTATTAAAACTGTGTCATTAGAATCATTTGCCAGTCAGTCCATGCTGTGAACATCAGCTCCTGTTAAAAAATCTTATGAAGGGTACAAGTGACTTCAAAAGACAATTTGTCCTGCATCTGAAGGATAGCAGCTTTTACCCTGAACTCACATAGTGTTACTGAGGCAAGAGTTGATTCCTATTATTTGTGACACTCTTCTTTCCAAGAGTTTTGACTAAAGTTGATTCAACAAGGAAGATCAGCTCATCAAATGCACTTTGTCTGCTTTAGTAGTCACATAGCTTTAAAGAGCCTGCTTTCCTAAGACAGCAGTGTAGCTTCTGAAATGGACAGCATTCTCAACAAAAGTTATATGGAAGTATTTTCTGACATAATATGTATGTCTCTTCCTGTATACATGTGTGCATCCAATTCAATCTATCATCCATGGTTGACACCTGGGTTACAGTAGTTAACTAATTAACTAACATGGATTTTCACAGGAGCAATATTAACTGGGTTTTCCTAAAATCTAAAACTAGTTCTTTCATTTCAATGAATCAATATTGCATTATTTTAAAAACTTCACCTACGTTTACTTTTTATTCCCGATGACACCTACAAATGCATATCCACATACTTCAAGTACTCAGATAATCAATCATTTGTACACAGGATAAAATGTAAATAGTGACAGTTGAAAGCCCTTCTTGAGATCCAGTGCTTGTAAACAAATTTTCTGAGTAAATCCCAAGACTCAACACCTGTTGGATTGTATTGTGAAGGAACTCTCTGATCCAAAGTAGGATGGTAGGATTAATATCAAGTGTTTCCTTTTACAACATTAAAAGCAGAAGAGAAATCAATAACGGTGTAAGTTGTCTAACCTATCTATATCCTGCTGAGTCAGATGGACTAAAATCAGAACAGCATCATCCATTAACTTATGAGGTTGACAGGGAAACTGTAACTAAACATGCGGAACAAGAGGATTAAAGGCACTTCAACACAATCATTCAAGACACTGCATAACTATCAATACTAAAGCAACTGGTTGGTAATCAGTCAGCATAACTGCTAAAGTTCTGTCGGAACAGGGATAGTGATGAATGACTTCCAACAGTGAGGAACAAAATATGTATTGAGAATTTCTAAAAGACCAGAGAGAAGGGAACTAACTGGTAAGTATATTTCATTCAGAGTTTTTCTGGTGACTGTAATCCCATGGAGAATGCACTATATGTGGGATTATCATTTTAAGACATTAATAAAGGCTACCATTTCTACCATTTGGAAGTTGCCTGCTAAGTTATGTTCAACGTTGCTTTTGATTTGTTATTTTATATCTTGCCATTCTTTTAGTCAGTATTCGTGACCCGAACTATGCACAACTGAACTTCTGTAAAACCATGCAAGTGTTACACATTAGTTTCAATGATCTGCTGCAAAATGAGCCATGGTTTTCTAGTTTAAAGTACACAATGGGGTGTCCACAATTAGAAAGGATTACTACATAATGCAATTAGTTTGGCTGGGGAACCAGTTAGCAAAAGTTTTAGTCATTGTCTTTGCACCCAAGATCAGTGTTCCCCATTTTCTACTGGGACCTCATTAGAAGATTGAAAAATTGTTGAGACTCCTTAATGAGAACTGCCAGAGAAAGAGAAGACGGTGGTGGCGGCAGTGGGGGGGCATAAGGAGGTAGACCATGATAGTGGGGTGCTGGCGGGAGGGGAATGCAGACACTTAAGAGCATAGGTGAATTCCAAGGAGATTTAATTTAAAAAAAAACATGCAATACTTACCATTTAAAAAAAAACTTCTGCAGAAGCTTGGTCTTGAGGTTGAGTCATTTAGGCCATGCCCACAGTTTTAAAAAAAAAAAAGGGCATTTAAAGCGGTCTTGCAGCTCTTCACTCAGTCAGTGCTCCATGGCCTCAGAGCTCATTACCCACTTATGAAAGCCATGCCCTAGATTATTCATCTTTGGCCACTGTGAATAAATTATACAGACAGCATTAGTATATTCTAGCTAAGGAAGCAACCAACTTAGTTTTCTAGTGTCTTATCTATCACACCTCAACATGAAAAGTAATTCAAAAATCATACCACATGATATTATATTAAATGCCCTATCTGGATTTTACCATAATATATTTTCGTAAAATTTCACTAAAAACTAGTGAGCTATCATGTTCATAATGATTGCAAGTCAAACTTAAAACACATTTTAGCCTTATTAACTAAAATCATAACATGCCATTGCATGTAATAACTGTAAATTGTATCTAAATGATAACTACATTGAGGAGTATTTCTGGAATCAGCAAATCAATACTAATAGTTAAGTACAAGTCATAGGAAAAAAAAAAATCTGCTTCAAGAGAAAAATTGATCGCAGAAGTGCCTTGCGGGGTATTTGGTAATGAATTATATTCCAATGTAAAATTAAAATCTCTGCTGCATTAACACAGTAGGTAATTCCAAAACATTAGAATTTGAATTAAATCATGCTGGAAGTTACCAAACTTGATTGCAAAATTAAGACTTGCGGCACTTTCCCATACGAAGGGAAGCTCAACGCTCTAGGTTCCTCTTGCATACCATTAAATATCCAAATCTAGTGTGTGCACAGAAGCTACAAGCTCTCTCAATCTTACATGTAGGCCATGTAAACATTTATTAGATACCTTGGAATAAAGTGAAATTACGATAAATCCTTGGCTGACCTTATGACAGTTTAGTTTTTAAACAAAAACCAAATAACAAAATAATGATATGTCCAGATTAGGATTGGATACAAATTATGTGAGACAATGCTTTGTTCTTGTCCTTCTTGGTGGTAAAGGTCACAAATGATGCTGTGTGAGTAACCATCAGCCTATCGTCTCGACTGCATTTGCGTAAACTTAAATGAAGGGGTTTGCCATTAAGTACAAATTGCTCCTGCTTTACCAAGGCATTGATACAGCTGCTTGAGTACTCCTTACAGAATGTTGTTGGTTGGGGACTTGACAATGGTTCTAACAATCAGAGGATTTGGGTTTGAAATGGTCACTGCCTACCAATTGTGTCACTTGGATGTTATTCAGGACTTGTCATCAAGGGGATTGATGTGGTTAATTATCAGAACCATTTTGAAAACAACTGGACGCTTCAGAAAACTGCCCCACCCCTGATCTTATCAGAAAAGAAAGGTTATTATGGATGCAACTGGCGGTGGTAAAGCTAAATATGGTTCCCTAAAGAATCTCTACAGTGATGTTCTTAGGGCTTCAACGAACAGCCTCCAACAATCCCAATCATCTTCCTTGGTGTCAGAAATTACTCCACTTGTTGAATAGTTTTTCCATTGAGTTCCATTCACTCTCACAATGTATTTTTGCAAAGGATTCTCACCAGTACACTTGACGTTAAGGGCACTCTCTTCAGTTGAGGTAGTGTATCAAGTTCTGGTGACCACACTTTAGCAAGAATACAAAAGCACTGGAGTGCAGAAGAGGTTAAAAATAATGGTTCTAGGGATGATGTATTTCAGAGATGGAAGTATATTGGACAAGTTGGGATTGTATTCCTTGAAGAGGAGGCTGAGGGGAGATTTAATTCAAACATTCAATTAAACCACAAGGGGTCAGGGCAGAATAAATAGGGAGAAAATGTTCTCATTCATGAAAGGATCAAAAATGACAGCACACAGGTTTACAGCAATTAGTTAAAACAGAAGTGAAATGAGGAATAACTTTTTTGCACAGTGTAATTAAGGTCTGGAATGAATTACCTGAGAGTGTGGGGAAGGCACATTTAGTTGAGGCATTCAAAAGGAAATTACATAGCTTACTAAAAAGGAACAAGTGTGCAGAATTATGGGGAAAAGGCAAGAAATTAGTACTAGATGACTTTCCCATTTTAAGGGTTAGTACAAGCATGAAAAGCCTCCTTCCGCACCATAACAATTCTGCGATTTAGTGATTAAACATTGGGCCTTTGCTGTGTCTTCCAATTCCAGACTCTCCAGGTGAGGATAACAACTTCTCAACTTCTACCTTCCCAAGCCTATACCAAATCTTGTAAGCTTTGAAGAGATCACCGTTCATTCTTCTAAATTCCAGAAGAGTTTATCCTCTGGATATCAATCTCACACGACAGAATTCATTTCAGGAATAAATCCAGTGAGCCTTTGTTGTACTGTTCCTAAAGCAAATATGTGCTTTCTTGGATTAGGACATTAAAACTGTGCACAATACTTTAGATGTGACCTCACCAGAAAAAAATGCACTTGTACTCCAGCCCCTTTCCAACATGCCTTTTACCTTCATAATTGCTTGCTATATTTTGTTTTACTCTTTGATGAGATATAGGCATTAATGTCAAGGTCAGAATTTATTGACCTCCCTAATTGACCTTGGTTTGTCGGGCCATTTCAGAGGACAGTTAAAAGTCAACCACATTGCAATGGGTCTAGAATGATATGTAGGCCAGACTGGCTATGGATTGCAGATTTCCTTCCCTAATGGATGTTACTGAACCAGATCTGTTTGTACAACAATCGATTACTAGTCCAGTGACATTACCAACATACCATCATCTCCCAGCTACATGTGAACTTTCTATGTTGCTTGTAAATTAATTACCAAATCTATCAGAATATCATTTAAAAAATTACCATTAAAAAAGGTTTTCCCCCAAAGTGATAACCTTTCTCCACATTTTATCACACCACTTTGCTATCCACTCATAGTTCCCATTCATATTCCTTTGCACCCCAGTTTGTCTCAGAGCAGATTATCTCCACCTAGCTTTGGATCGACAAAAAACTGGGAAGTACGAGTTTTGGTATCTTTATCTAAACCATTAATAGATATTGTAATTATCTGCAGATATCCTCGCAGCACCTCATCAAGATTCAAAATGCCATGTTAGTCCCTACCATGTGTTCATTAACCAATCTACTTTTACTAATACACTGTATTAGGGATTCCCATCTTAAATGTATTATCCCAATCCTTTCGAATTATTTTAAAAAACTACTGTATTATACAAGAGAAAATTCATAAACAGATTTTGAAGACAAGATCAGTAGTGTACAATATTCCTCATAATTCACCAGTAGTTAATGCTTTCCACAAAACCATGATGTTGATGAATATGCAGAACTGCAAAAAAAATTGCACATTAAACGCCAAATATTTGATATAAGTATGGACGAAGATAAGCAGTAACACATCAAAATAGTGCCAGAAATGTTAAAAATAATAAATTGTACAGAACATTTTTAAAAATACAAAAACAGCAATTTAGCTAGTTAATAACAATTCACCTCTGACAGTTTAGTTAAAATGTCTATTTTCACGGTTCAAGTAGGGAGGTTTGACTAATGGCTATTCAGGTCCAGTCAGCAGATATTCATACATCAAATTACAGTTAAGTAAATATGGAAAAGTGCAAGTTGGAAATAATTTCCAAGCCAAAAAAAGCAACAAGAATTATGGGGAAAAGGCAAGAAAATAGTACTAGATAACTTGCTCATTTTCAGAGTTAGTACAAGCATGAAAAGCCTAATTCTGCACAATAACAATTGTGATTCAGTGATTAACATTGGGCTTTTGTTAGGTCTTCCAATTCTAGACTGTCCAGGTAGGGGAAACAACTTCTCCTCTGTCAAGCCTATGCCAAATCTCATACGCAAAAACAAGGAACAAGTATAATAAGGTTGACAGGGACTGCTTTTCCCTGAAACCTAATCAAGTGCAAATGGAATACTATTGTTTTAACCAGTCATACAGAAATGGCTAGTCATAGAATTTCTACAGTGTGGATGCAGGCCATTTAGCCCATCAAGTCCACATTGACCCATTGTGTCCACTCTGAAGAGCATCCTACCCAGACCCACTCCCCAACCTCTCCCTGTAACTCTGCATTTCCCATGGCTAATCCACTTAACCTGCAAATCCCTGGACACAATGAACAAGTTAGCATCTACACAACACTTTTCTCTTTGTATCTCCTATAGAACACATGCAGAGAAGCCTGACAGTATTTTTCATAACAATGATACTGGCTTAAAGACTGATGTTTTAAGTCAGGGTACATCATTCAATGCTTTGTGTAAACAAAACAAAATGGAAACAGTAGGACACAGGTACAAATTGAGTGACAATGTAATAAAAAGCTTCATTCAGGTTGACATCTCATTAGTGCAAACTTTATGTGCAAGTGAGCATGGGAATTAGGAGGAATAGGCCACTCCTTGCTTCAAGCCTGTTTCACCATTTGATATAATCATGCTGATCTGAATCCTCTACATTCCCATCTACCCTTTCCTCTTGGACAAAGAAAATTCTGCTCTGTCTTAAACAAGCAAGCCATTATTTTGAAACAGTAACCCTAGTTCTAGAATTATCCCGAGGACGATGCATCCTTTCCACAACCAATCTGTCAAGATCTTTCATCTTTCTCTGGCTCTTCTAAATTACAGGAAATAATAGCAGCTTGTCCAACTTCTCCTCAGGCAACCCACCCATTCCAGATATTAGACAAGTAAACCTTCTTTGAACTGCTTTTAATGCATTTACATCCTTCCTTAAACTAAGACAACCAATACTATTCACAGTACCACGGGGTGGTTCCAAGAACACACTGTATAACTGAAGAATAACTTCCCTCCTTTTGCATTCTGGTCCCCTCAATAGAATTTTTTTTAAAAAAAAATCAACATTTCCAATAGGTTATACCTCCATAGTAATCTTTTGCAACTTATGTGCTAGGACGCACCATTCCCGCTGTATCTTACAGCTCTCACCATTCACATTACACATGCCTTTCTATTGTTCCTAAAATAGAAATTTCACATTTTCCTACATTATACTGCATTTACGAGATCTTTACCCTTTCAATTAACATGTCTGTATCTCTTAGTGGTCTTCTTACATCCTCTCTACAACTTACTTTGCTACATATTTTTGTGACATCAGCAAGTTTAGCAACCAAACCTTCAGTTCCTTTCATCAAAGTTATTTGTACAAATTATAAAAGGCTAAGGCCCGAGCACTGATCCCAGTGGTACAACACTTGTAACATCTTGATGACCCTTTCTGGCTACTTTCTGTTTCCTGTTAGGTAGGCAATCTTGCAGCCCTTTCATTGTGTTACCAGTGATGCCATGTGCTTTTATTTTACTTGAAATCTGAGGAACTCTGGAAAATTAAAAATAATGCATCAGCTATTTCACTATTTAACTTCACTATTTCTTCTAAGACCCTAGAATGAAGTCCATGAGGACCTGGAGACTTGTTAGTCTGTAGCTCCAACAACTTCCAGTACCATTTCCCTGACAACTAATTTTCCAAAGTTCCTCCTTCATTTCCATTTGCTGATTTACAATTATATCCGGGATGTCAACTTTATGTTCCACTGGAAGACCAATGCACATTGTTGCACAATGCCAGGTCTGGTCCAGACAGTTCTTTTGTTGACTCCAGAAGGTGCTGTTCTCTATCCTAGAAACATTAAATTCAAATAAAAGTAAACTACTGATGAAGCTGGAAATCTGAAATAAAAACAGAAAATTCTAGAGAAACCCAGGTCTGGCAGCATCTATGGAGAGAGAAACAGTTAACGTTAAGAATAAAATTCCATTACAGAAGAGTCTAGTTGAGTTTCTCCAGAACGTTCTGCTTTTATTCTACAGTGGCTACTTTTGCCCATCTAATTGTTCCAGGTTCTGCAATAGATTATAACCCCCCCAGGAGCACCCTACCTTTTTCACAAGCTCCTATTATTTTTTGCTTTATATTCCACTCTACCATGTGGTTACTGTTAGGGCAGCTTTTTTTTTCAAAAAAAGACATACCATTCATGCAACTTACTTCATGTCTTTATCATTTCTCATCTCTACCCAAACCACTTCAACATCCGGATTCCCTGTACTGACATCCCTCCCTGTTGCGCTAATTCCAATGACTAACACAGTCACCTTTTCCTAGCTTCCTCTCTTTCCTAAACAGCACAAAACCTTCAATATTCAGTTCCCAGTCTACTTTTCATTCATGCCTCTGATGGCCATTAGATCAGATCACACATATGTCCATTGGTGTTATCAGCTCATCGGTTTTGTTTCGAATGTTACATGCATTTAAGTGAAGAACCTTTAGTTTTGTCCTTCTGCAATAGCAATGGCAGTGAAACTTGGTAATTACAGTCATCATTCATCCAAAACTATAAGCAATGTCTGAAATCCGTAAATGCACAGAATGCAGAAATCCAGGAATTACTGTTGGCAATTTTACATTTCTTCAGTTCAGTGCATTTGACTGGATTGCATTCTGAGGGAGGAACACCTCTGATGCCAGATAACATGTTTAGAGTTTCTGCAAAAAAATTCTGAAAAAGTGACACCTTATTGATTTGAGACAACACTTTTTTTAAAAGTTTACTTTGTCCGCAATTGCTCATATGGAGCCTCTTTAGAATCACAGAATCCCTACAGTGTGGAAGCAGGCCATTTGGCCCATCAAGTCCACACCCATCCTCTGAAGAGCATCCCACTTAGACCCAACCCACCTCTGCAAACCCACTTTATGCAAGTACAACTTTACAGCAGTATAACTTTATTTTTTGCTGAATATCACAAGCTTCCATTCTAAAAGCAACCTCATATCATTAAGAAAGTTTTTAGTATACATTTCATTTCTATATCCCAACTTTTTATTTAAAAAAATTATTAAAAGTCAGTGGCATGATAACTCCTGGTTTGCTGCTTTGACTAACGCTTCATAGAATCCCTACAGAGTGGAAACAGGCCCTTCTGAAATGAGACATGCCAAACATCAAGAAAAGTGAAACCAGAATTATAAAAATGTTTGTACATAAATTTCATATCAGCAACTACTGCTGCTTTGTTGATAGCTACAAAATCCTGCTAAACGTAATCATTTTGCAGCACCAAATGCTGGCCCTTAGAACGTGATCATACAGATACAAATAGACTAACTCATTATTTCCGAGATACACCTCATCTGATCTATAAGCGAGTAACAAAAACAAAGTTGTTGGAAAAGCTTAGCAGGTCTGGCAGCGTCTGTGAAGAAATAAATCAGAATTAACGTTTCGGGTCCAGTGCCCCTTCCTCATTATAAGCGAGTATGCTGATGTTGGAAAAGTGTTTGCCATCCTCGGATCTTTCAGGAACACCAACTTCGAAATTATAGCTTTAACTCCACGTCAAGAAAATGACTGCCCTTAAACGGCAAATGCACAGGTTTTAAATCATGGGTCAAGACACTTCAGGATGCTTTTTGGTAATTTCGCGTTTATATTCACCGCGACTCTTTGCGACGCAAACCTTTTCGCAAATTTAGAAAATGCTCAGATACTTTTCTCCCGTATAAGAACGCTCCCACTTTGCTGACGGGAGATTTCTAACTGAGTCGGACCAATCAGTGCAAACAACAAGAGGTCGATCTGAATCACAACCCAGCCCAGATTCCGCTCTACCGGGCAGCGGGGTTCTGTCTGAGCCACCAGTAAACAAGGTTACAGCCGATCTGGGCAGAGGGGGCGGTGACATTTTAGCCAAAACAGGACGGGCCCTTCCAAACCAAAACCTGGGCCCACAGGCCAGTGCCCGAAAATAAACCCGCTGCAGCCGAAGCTCCTTCTCCTCGTCCTTCCGCCTGATTTTAACACAATGGCCGCCGCCGCTTATTTACGGCCTTTACCTTTCCATGCTCTTCTCGGAGCCGTGAGAGAGTCAACTGGCTGGAACTGGGGCGGTTTGCCGGCGGCGGCACAAGGCCGATGCTGCGAGTCTGCCATTTCCTCCTGAGCCGGAGGCCGAGCGTGTGTTTGACAAACACTCAGGAACTGGGTGTCCTAAATAAATGTTTATGTATGTGATAACTACGGCTGCACAACTCCTCACTCCGCATAGAGAGAGCAGGTCTTGTCATCCACACTGCCGGAGCGGAAAACATTTCACACTCGCATTATTAGCCCTCGAAGCTCAACTTTCTTTTTCGCGACGAAGCCGATCGGTCTCAACAAAAACCCCCACCCCGCGCCATCTTGCTTCGGGACGGTCCGGATCACAGCACGTGACACGGGGGCGCGTCGGAGACCTGGCACGTGACACTGGGGGCGGGACTGCTACACGATACATGACACCATGTGACATTTCACAAGGGGGCGGAGCCGTAGCTCCACACGTGACACGGGCCTGCGACTGTGGAGAACGTAACTTTTCGCCGCCAATGTTCAGAAAAGCCATACGACTCGGAAGGTAAACAAACAGGGTGTCTGACAGCTGAAAATACCACTAGTGACAGGTGCGTGGTGGCGGCATCTTCGAGATATTCCGTCACTCCTCACACTCATTCAAAATCATTTCTGAGCACCATCAGTTTCGAGCAAGGATCACTCGAATAGAAACGTAACTCTGATTTCTTTCCACAGTTGCTGCCAGACCTGCTGAGCTTTTCCAGCAATTTCTGTTTTCATTTTGGCCAAACATAGGCCCGAAACGTCAGCCTTTCTGCTCCTATGATACTGCTTGGCCTGCTGTGTTCATCCAGCCCTGCACCTTGTTGTCTCGGATTCTCCAGCATCTGCAGTTCCTACTATCTCTGATCCTTTTTCAGTGCTTGTGGTGAATCCCTGCATTGTCCTGTTATTATAAATGGTGTAAGTAGGCCGCACGGGGGCTCAGTGGTTAGCACCTGCTGCCTCATAGCACCAGGGACCCAGGTTCGATTCCACTCTCCGGCGACTGTCTGTGTGGAGTTTGCACATTCTCCCTTTGTCTGCGTGGTTTTCCTCCAGGTGCTCTGGTTTCCTCCCACGGTCCAAAAATGTGCAGGTGATGGCCTAGTGGTATTATCGCTAGCTGTTAATCCAGAGACCCAGATAATGTTCTGGGGATAAAATTGAATCAGAGACAGTAGGAACTGCAGATACAGGTGAATCCGAGACAACAAGGTGCAGGGCTGGATGAACACAGCAGGCCAAGCAGCATCATAGGAGCAGAGAGGCTGACGTTTCGGGCCTAGACCCTTCATGAGGAAGGGGGTTCTGAAATAAATAGGGAGAGAGTGGGAGGCGGATAGAAGATGGATAGAGGAGAGGAAACAAACAGGTCGAAGAGGCGGGGATGGGGCCAGTGAAGGTGAGTGTAGGTGGGGAGGTGGGGAGGTGGGGAGGAGATAGAACAGTCCAGGGAGGACAGACAGGCCAAGGGGGCGGGATGAGGTTAGTAGGTAGGAAATGGGGGTGCGGCTTGAGGTGGGAGGAGGGGATAGGTGGGAGGAAGAACAGGTTAGGGAGGCAGGGACGAGCTGGACTGGTTTTGGGATGCGGTAGGGGGAGGGGAGATTTTGAAACTTGTGAAATCCACATTGATACCATTGGGCTGCAGGGTTCCCAAGCGGAATATGAGTTGCTGTTCCTGCAACCTTCGGGTGGCATCGTTGTGGCACTGCAGGAGGCCCAGGATGGACATGTCGTCTGAGGAATGGGAGGGGGAGTTGAAATGGTTCGCGACTGGGAGGTGCAGTTGTTTATTGCGAACCGAGCATAGGTGTTCTGCAAAGCGGTCCCCGAGCCTCCGCTTGGTTTCCCCGATGTAGAGGAAGCCACACCGGGTACAGCGGATGCAGTATACCACATTGGCAGATGTGCAGGTGAACATCTGCTTAATGTGGAAAGTCTTCTTGGGGCCTGGGATGGGGGTGAGGGAGGAGGTATGGGGGTGAGGGAGGCGGTATGGGGGCAGGTGTTCTGGGGACCCGGGTTCGAATATAGCCATGGCAGATGGTGGAATTTGAATTCAATAAATATCTGGAATCAAGAATCTGATGATGACAGTGAATTGCCGATTGTCAGGAAAAACCAAGCTGATTCACTAATGCCCTTTAGGGAAGGAAACTGCCTTCCTTACCTGGTCTGGCCTACATGAGACTCCAGACCCACAGCAACCCTCTGAGCAATTAGGAACAGGTAATAAACGCTGCCTGAACCAGCGATGCCCTCATCCCATGAATGAATAAAGGAAAAAAAAAGTGGATTGGTCATGCTAAATTGCCCACAGTGTTAGATGTGTGGCTAGGCGGATTGGCCATGGGAAAATGCAGGGTTACAAGGATAGGGTAGGGTTGCGGATGAGATGCTCTTCAGAGGGGTGGTGTGGACTTGATAGACTGAATGGCCTGCTTCCACACTGTAGGGATTCTATGATTATCGGTTCTCTGGTGTTTGGGAGACCTGCTGAGCTTTTCCAGCAACTTCTGCTTTTGCTGTTTAAAATTCTTAAAGTTCACTCGCTTTAAAGTTAGCTCCGAATATATTACAATTGAGCATACACATACAATAATTTTTAATATCCACACTTTTCCAAAGGAAGCAATTGAAATTAGAATTGCCAAGAAAACACATGTTCCAAGTCATAATGTACGCAGGGAGAAATCCTATTGGTCTCCCTTCAAAAATTAACTTATCCTTTTCCAATAACTTGGCACAGCTCTGACATCAGAGCTTGTCAACCATTAGATTAAAACCAAAGATCAGACACCGATCATAATCTTGAATAACAGGTTGAATATGTAAAATTACGTCGGTAGGGGCTGCTTGAAAGTATTCTTTTGTCAAGAGATGATTGTCAAATCTTTCAATTCGAGGAGCTGTCTCACATAATAACAATGATATAGAGTCATAGAGATATACAGCACGGAAACAGACCCTGTGATCCAACTTGTCCATGCCAACCAGATATCCTATCAGCATTTGACCCATATCACTTTAAATCTTTCCTATTCATATATCCATCCAGATGTCTTTTAAATGTTGTAATCGTAAGAGCCTCCACCACTTCCTCTGGCAGCTCATTCCATACATGCACCACCCTCTGCGTGAAAATGTTGCCCACTAGGTCCCTTTTATATCTTTCCCCTCTCACCTTAAACTCTCCTGCCCCAGTGAAAAGATCTTGCCTATTTACCCTATCCATGCCCCTCATGATTTTATAAACCTCTATAAAGATCACCCCTTAGCCTCCGATGCTCTACAGAAAATAGTCTATTCAGCCTCTCGCTATAGCTCAAACCCTTCAACTCTCGCAACATCCTTGTAAATCTTTCAAGTTTTGCAAAATCCTCTCCAATAACAGGGTATTATTCTAACGATGTGATATTGCCTGTCGTCCACAAGAGGATGCACATTAAGCACTGAGCCCGCTCCACCACTGAATACGATCATGGCTGATTGTGGATCTCAACTCCACTTTCTCAATACAGCGACTGAACACTTGGGAGGGTGAAGAATCTGAAACATATTTACCATAGAAAAAATTACCACGATTGTTATCAGGGAACATCAGTTTATAAAACTAAAAGATTAAATATGTAAAAATAAAGGCATTGGTCCTGATGGGCTGAACGAATTTCTCAAATCCATGTTTTATGTTAATCTGTACCTTCAAAAGGATAGTTCTTAAAGTGGGAAAATGAGGACACTATGTATGTTTATTTGTGAATACTATTATATAAAGTGGAACTTAAAGAGGCAGAGAAACAAACACAATAATTTTGATTCAGAAGCTCAAAACATTACTTCAAACAAAAATGGAATTTTAGAAAGGATGTTAAATGCTGATCCATTTTAAAAATACCACTTTTCTACAATGTTATTTTAGCAGAAACCAAAGACCTGTTACTCCACTATATTCAATAAGTTAACTTAATTTACTACATTTTGAATATAGCATGAATCCTGTTTTAAATGCATTTAAAGGAAGATTCTTGAAGTCTTTAATTAATCTTCCCTGCATTAGTATAAAATAAAATGTTATGCCTGATCAGTCTCTCACAGACACTGGTCTTCATTTGCATTATCTATATATTACTTGGATACGATTTGTATAATGTTTTTTCTACGTAAGACATTTGAAGTTGCAGAAAGAAAGCAAAAGCAGTCTATCCAAGCTTTGATTAAAATAACTATTAACTCTGCAGGTTCATATTTCATTCTTTTATTTTTGTGATTCTGCTTCTCTTTACCTGTCATGCCAGTACAGACATGAAGTTATTACCTTGTAAAGTATTCACAATAAAATGGCTAATATATCATGTGAGTTTGGCAACATCAACTCCAAGCAAAACTCAAAAAAAATACTTTAAGATATGAACAGCCACAGTTTCTTGTTGTAACAAGACCTCAAGCAGCAGGTGGCAACAGTGATGGGGGCACTGAGCAGGGAACAGAGCAGTTTTCAGAGACACCCAGCAGCAAGCGGTGACATTGAGGAAGGCAGCTGGAGTAGTTGAATAGAACTAGATAGACAAAGAAAGCGTGTCTTAGGTAGTGAGAGGGCTGACGAGAAAGAAGCCAGACAAAGCAGTTTCTCAGTCTAATGTAATTCATGCAGTCAATCCATGGACACAGTATAAACAGTTGCTTATTTATCTTTTACATCTCTTCCTGTTTGTAATGACATGATGCCACTGAAATAAAGAATAAATAAAGAAATGATTTTAATATCCCTGCTTCATGATTTTTGGGTTATTTGTGTTAGAATTTCATGTTACATTTGACATTGTTGGCAGGATTCTACTGCACAGATATCAAGATATTGAGGAGCCGAGACTGAGAATGTCAGTGAGGAAGGCTGAAGATGTTCCAGGATCACTGACCCTGATTCCTTAAGAAATTCACACTACAGTTCAGCAGAGCATCACTGATGGATGAGCTCCAAACTAGGTCCAGACATATAGAACCAGGTGTGGTTTCACCTTTGCCATCTATCTCAAAACAGAATCACCCACAGCTTCAACATCAGTAGACTGTACCAATACAGGAAGGCTCAGCACCCACCTAGAGGTCAGTAGTCTGGCAAATGATGTGGAGGAAAGCAGATAACTCCATTGTGTTGCAGAACCAGAGGTGTCAGTGAATATTGGTTCAAGTGAAAGTGGAGTTGCAGTGTTGCAGAACTGATGAAGGATCACTAGACCCAAAACATTAACTCTGCTTTCTACCTGCCGATGCTGCCAGAACTGCTAAGTTTTTCCAGCAATTTCTGATTTTGTTTTTAAGATGAGCCTGGTATCTCTGGTTGAAGAAAAAAGGAAAGGAAAGTCAAGCATGTTATAGGCTC